TAAATAAAATTGATGTTCTTGACAAAGCTGTGTATTTCCTAAAATAGGTTGCTTTAACTTCTTAAATTTTTTTAAAAAATGATTGAATTTTTGTGCATTTTATACAATATATTATATTTAGACACCCTCGCCTATCTACACCCTCTATAGCCCCATCCCACTGTATTTTATGCATTCTGTCATTTATGTTAAGGCCTATCAAGTCAAGGTTGTGTTCCCAAATGTCCCTCAGTGTGAGTCCATCCACTAGAACCTTCTCAACCTATCTAGTGTCATTCTCTTAAAAAAATCAATTCTCCTTCACCCAGCAGTGATCAGTTGCCAATAGTTTCTCAGCATCTTACGCATTTCCCCAGTTCTGTGCTGGGTTTTTGTCTGATTGAGTGTGCATGGGTCTTATGCATGCTGTCACCATCACTATAAATTCATATGAGCAAATTCCCAGCCACCTGGAAAACTGTTTCCTTGGGGTTATCCACGACCCCTGACTCTTAACAATCTTTCTGCCTGTTCATCCACAGTGATCCCTGAAATCAGTGTTCTAATCAGAGATAAGCATTCTGTAGCCTCTTGTTCTCTGTACATTAGCCAGTTCTGTATTAATCACCATCTGCTGCATAAGGAAGCTTCTCTGGTGAGAGTTGAGATAGGCATTCATTCTATGTGTAGAGGTGGCATTGAAGAAGTAACTTAGGGTAAGTGTTCTCAGATACTTATTCTCTGTCTGACCAGTTGTGGAACTCTGTAAACTCTCCATTTGTTGCAAAAAGAAGCTTCTTTGATGAAGAGTGGAAGGTACTTAGCCTAAAGTCAGAAATTATGTTGGTCTAGGGATGTGGCAAAAGTAGATTTTTCCTTAGGATCTATGCCTTTTCTAGCCATGTGTACTTGGCTATGTTTACAGGACCTCATACAAGTTCCTCCCACTTAGTGGGCTTTAATTCCTATTAGACCGCTATTGATTACCCTCAAGAGAAAAGTGCCACTACTATACTGATAGAGATAGTTTGATGGGCAAGTTGTTATGTATTAGGCTTTACAGCTGGGCTTTATCACCGATTGGTTTTCTCCCTTGGCAGCTTGTATAGTATCCTGATATCATGAGAGCTAATTTTCAGGGCAACTTCCAGGTCACTTTCAGCTCCATTGCTCTAGATTCTGTGTCTAAACTATAGCCTGTCTTCAGGAATAGAGTCTTACCTTCAAGTTCTGGGAGGCAGTCAAGGTCTGTGGCAGTAGCCTGTATTATTTGGGAGTCTTTTAGATTACCCTGACCCTGAAATCTTTATCAGATTGCTTATTATTTGTATATAGAAAGACTACTGACTTTTGTACATTGATTTTACAACCTGCCACTTTGCCAAAAGTATTGATTATGTCTAGAAATTTTCTGGTGGAATTTTGGGGATCTCATATGTATATCATATCATCTCCTAATAAGGGTAATTTTACTTCTTCTTTACTAATTACTACCTGTTCTAGTTCATTTCTCCATTGCTATGACAAAATACTCTGACCAATACCAACTTGGAAAGGAAGGGGTTTATTTGGCTTACATCTCCTGGGCCACAGTTCATCAGGAAGCCCAAGGTAGGAACTCAGGGTAGGAACCTGGAGTCAGGACCTAGAGCACAGGCCATGGAGGAACGCTGCTTACTGACTTGCTCCCCTGGCCCCTGCTCAGCCTGCTTTCTTATATAACATAGGCCCACCTGCTCACAGGTAGCACTACCCACAGTACGCTGGGCCTTCTCACATCACTCAATAATCAAGAAGATGCCCCACAGACATGACCACAGGCCAGTCCAATGGAGGCAACTCATCAACTGGGGCTCCCCTACCTAGGTGTGTCAAGTTTACTACTAAAGCTATCCAGCACAGTGCCCCTTTAATTTTCTTCTCTTGTCTTATTGCTCTATTTAGAGTTTCAAGAACTATACTGAAAAGGAGTGGGAATAGCAGGCAGCCTTTTCTGGCTCCTGATTTTAATGGGAGTGCTTCAAGATTTTCTCCATTTACAATGATGTTTGCTGTGAGTTTGTTATATATAGCCTGAGTTATGTTCCGTCAGTCCAGTTTCCTCCAGGACTTTTATCATGAATGCATGTTGAATTTTGTCAGATCTTTTCTGTGCCTATTGGAATTATCATGTGATTTTTGTCTTTAAGGCCATTTATATGATTTATTACATTTATTGATTATGTATATTGAACCATCCCTGTATCTCTGGAATAAAGCCTACTTGATCATTGTGGGTGATCTTTTTGATGTGTGTTTGTATGTGATGTATATGATTATTTTGTTGAGAATTTTTACAACTACGTACATTAGGGATACGGGCCTATCATTTTCTTTTTTGTTGTATCATTACCTGGTTTGGGTATTAGAATAATACTGGCATTGTAGAAACCATTTGAGAGTTCTCCCTCTGTTTCTATCTTTTTGAATAGTTTGTGTAGTCAATATTCTTTGAGTGTCTCGTAAAATTCTGCTGTGAACCCATCTAAGACTGAGTTTTTTCAATTGGAAGACTTTGAATTACTGTTTCAATTTCCTTATTTGTTATGAGTCTGTTAATCCTGTTGATCTCTTCTTGGTTTAACTTTGGTGGCTTCCATGAATTTAGAAATTCTTCCATTCTTTTTAGATTTTCAGATTTAATGGAGTAGAGTTTTTAATGTATTCCATTATAATGTTCTGGCTATTTTTGGTGTCTATTGTGGTATTTCCCATTTCATCTGCAATTTTGTTGATTTGGATTTGCTTTTTCTTTTTTTTTTCACTAACTGGGGTAAGGGTCTCTTTTATTTATCTTTTCAAAGAACCAGCTCTTAAGTTCATTAATTCTATGTAAAGTTTTGTTTCTATTTTGTTAATTTCTGCTCTAATTTTTGTTACTTCTTATTTTCTGGGTTTGGGTTTAGTTTTTCTTGCCATTCCAGATTCTTGCATTGAATCATTAAGTCATTTATTTGTGCTCTTTCTAATTTTTTTAAAGTAAGCACTTAGAGCTATAAACTTCCCTCTTAGAATGGCTTTTTATTGTGTCCCAGAGGTTTTGTTGGGTTGTACTATCATTTTAATTTACTTCCAGGAATACTTTTATTTCTTTCTTGATTTCTTCTTTGACCCATTCATTATTTTCAGCAAAATGTTTAATCTCCATGAGTTCTTATAGTTACTAGAGCTTTTTCTGCTGATGATTTTCAGCTTTATTGTGTTTTGTAATGGTAGAATGAATGGAATTCATTTTTTCTGTATTTGTTGAGGCTTGTTTTGTGCCCCAGTATATGATCATTTTAATAAACTTCCATGATCTGCTGAGTAGACTGTGTATTCTTTGGCACTTGGATACAATATTTGGTAGATTTCTGTTGGGTTCATTTGATGTATGACATAATTTAATTTAAACAATTTTCAATTATTCTTTGTCCAGTTGACCTGTCAGTTGGAGATAGTGGGGTATTGAAACTACCTACTGTTACTGAGTTGTGGTTAATCTGTGTGTTAAAGTCTTGTTGTACTGTTTTTATGAAATTGGGTGCACCAGAAGTTGGTATATACATGTTCATGATTGCAGTGTCTTTTTTGATAAATTTTTCTCTTAATTATAACAACTCCAGATAGGGACAAATTTCTGAGTGAATTCATAAAAGACATAAAAATATTGAAGAAAACTCAGGCTGAAATGAAGAAGGAAGTGAACAATTTAACAAACCAATTTGAAATGACAGGAGAAAGTCTCACCAGTAGAATAAATGAAATGGAAAGCAGAATAGCAAGATTGGACAATAAAGTTGAAGAATTGGCTGGCTCAAAACAAGAATGTGAAATTTAAGAAAAAAAAAAAAAACAGGAATGGAACACCCAATGGAGCACCATGAAAAGATTGTTACCTTCTTTATCTCTTCTAATTAATTTTAATTTGAACTCTATTTTGTCAGATACTGAAATTGCAACACCTGCTTGTTTCTTGGAATATTTTTCCCATTTCACCGTAAGTAATGTCTGTCCTTGAGGTGAGATGAGTTTCTTGCAGACAGCAAAAAGATAGGTTCTCTTTGTTCAACAATTCAACTAATCTGTCTCTCTTAACTGGGGGATTGAGGCCATCAAAATTTAAAGCTGTTTTTGAAGGATCTGCATTGGTTACTGTCATTTTAGTTTCTGTTTGTTTTCTTGGTCCTATCTTGTAGTTCCATGATTATACCTTCATTCATTTTATTTTGTAACCTCTTTGGTATGGTCATTCCTTTCTTCAGTCTTTTGTATTGCTTTGAGTATTCTCTGTAGGGCTGGTTTTATGGACATGAATTCTTTTAGCATACTTGTGTCATGGAAGATTTTTTTTCTTTCCCTTTCAGCTATGTAGACAGTTTTTCTGGGTAAAGTGTTATGGGTCAGCATCTTTAATAATTTAGAAATTGGAATACTTTGGGCCCCTCCATGTTCTTTTAGGTTTATAGTTTGCATTGAAAAGTCAGCTGTAACTCTGATGGGTTTTCCTTTATATGTAACTTGTTTTTCTCTTGTAGCTTTTAGTATTCTCTCTTTTTTTACTGTGGTATGCCATCAGGAGTTTCTGTTCTGGTTGTGTTTGGTGTTCTGTGTACTTCTTGTATCTATATAGGTATGGCTTTTCTTTTTTGTATATCTTTTTTTAATTTAGGGAAATTTTGTTCTGTAATTCTTTTGACAATCTGATCGATGCCATTGACCTGGGATTCCTCTTCTTTCCTTATGGCCATGATGTATAAATTTGGTATTTTCATGGTGTCTCCCATTTCCTTCATACTCCATTCCTGTGGATTTTTTAAATCTTTATGTTTTTTGTTTGAATGGTTCATTTCTTCAGTTTTATCATTCCGCCTTGTT